ACTTAATGGTTTTCCATTTTTTCCAGGCTTTCCTTTGATGCTGATTCTATTGCTTGTGAGGTTCAATACTATGAAAGTCTTTAAATTCAAGTAGTTCTCTTTAGACTCCTGATATGAATTGGGGTTGTAAAAATTTTCAATTACACTGTTGTTGTTAGATCGCTGGAATCTATTTGTCAATTTACACCTTAGCTGGTTATCGCTGCCCAGGTCTTTGGTCCAACAATTCTGAAATGTTTATGTTAAAATGTTGTAGATGAGATTAATATTTATATCAGTGGACTCTGAATAAGAAGATTGCCCTTCACAGTGTGGGTGGGCCCTTATCCAATCAGTTGAAAGCCTGAATAGAACAAAAAGATTGATCTCTCCTGAGCAAGACAGAATTCTTCCAGCAAATGACCTTCAGACGTGAATTGCAACACTGACTCTCTCCTGGGTCTACAGACTGCCAGCCTATCCTGCAGATTTTGTATTTGTCATCCTCCACAGTTGTATGTCAGTTGCTTAAAAATCTTCCTCTTCTCTGTACATGTGCACGCGCGCACACGTCTCCATCCTATTGATTCTATTCCTCTGGAGAACCCTGACTAATGCAAATGATATCAGTACTTCTTAGAAAAGTAATTTGTTTAAACAACAGTGAAACAGAGTATTTATGGTATTTTGGAGGGGAAAAATGCTTCCTGTGAAAAAGCAACATTCAGCCAGCCTGTTTTCCCTGATCCTGGGACTCCTTCATGGAGAGCAGGATGTAGAAGAGACGGTTCCAGAAAATAAACTGGTTTATTACAAACAGACCATGTTAGTCCAGAAAAATAGTATAGGAAAATATTCTCTTTCTTCAATAAAACTAAGCCAAGAAAGAGATTTACTGAATTGGACAGAAGGGAAGGAAAATAATGCCTTTCTTGGACCCCAGAATAAGTTCAGATCAGGATTTTAATTGAAAAGTCAAACTATTTCCTTTATCTGGCTTTGTGTGCATAGCTGTGTGACTTTCACCAAGACACTTCTCATCTCTGGGCCTTAATTTTCTCACTGTTAAGATGAAGCAGTTGAATTGGACATCTGCAGTCTCTTTCAATCACGTCAGTTTCTGTTATTCCAAAGTCTTAAGCTCCAAGATAGCAGGCTGCCTCTAGTTTACCTCTCTCAATCCAGCAACCTGGCATAGGGCCTATCACATAGTAGCAACCAACAAATAGTGATGCTCAACAATTCTTACATTGAATGAATGAATGAATAAAGATTTGTTAAAAACTAACTAGATAACTTTTGTGGGAAAAAGACAAGAAATCAAGGAATCTCATCCTGTGTAGGCATATAAAAAGATACTGTAGCAAACTTGAAATCCTTTGGGCCAGGCATGATGGCATACACCCATAATCCCAGCTTCAAGGGAGGCAAAAATGGGAGAATTGTGGTTTGAAGCCAACCCTGGCAAAAAAAAAAAAAAAAGCTAGTGAGACTATCTCAAAAAACAAGCTGGATTATGGAGGCATGAGTTTCTAATCCCAGTTATGAGAGAGGTCAAGGTAGGAGAATATCAGTCTGAGGTCAGCCCCAGCCAAAGAGGAAACATGAGATCCTTACTTGTCAAATTGAAGCAAAAGGGACTGGGGGTGTGGCTCAAGTGATAGAGCACCTGCCTAGCAAGTGCAAGGCTCTGAGTTCAGGCCCTGAAATTGAAATCTTCATTATAATTACAAGTCACTTCCCTAGATTTGTTATATATCCAGAGCCTTACATCATGAGGTACAAAGTTATTTAAACCAATTCTGTGCTCCTGAAGGTCCCACCACTTTCACAGGAGACAGGAAATCTTGTACTCTGTTTAAATACAACAGAAAAAATAGTTTGCAGAGCCTGGTCCATGGTCCCTGTGTTCTAAGGCCTTACAGGTTAATGTTTGTGGGCAGAGCTGAGCGATAGAAGACCAGCTGGGCAGTCCACCTCTTCCACATCATCACCTGAGGCTTTGTCTGGAGCTGACCACAGACCTCAGTAGCAGGGTCCTCACTGACCACCCCACAGGCCCCCTGCAGCCACCGACAGTGAGAAATAACTGCTCTCTGCTCTTGTCTTCTGCCCCTGATTCTCTAGTCCATCCCAACTTGTACCTGGTTCAAGCAGAGAATTGCCCTGTATCAGCTAAGTCTCTGCCAGTCAGCTGACTAATGGTTTTCTATCTTTATTATAAAACAGCCAAGAAAAGTTTGCAGTTTTATGGAGAAGCCTTCTGAGTCATATTTCAGAAAAACCTCTACAAGTCAACCTAGTTGATTTTATAAAGGCCGTCAGCCTTTACATCACAGGAGCTGCCTCCTTTTCTTAAAAAAGCAGAATGTGGCTCTGGACTAGGAGAATGGCAGACCTGCCTCTAGTTCCTGTGGCATCATTTGGGGACAGGTGTTTGGTATGTCACTTCTTTCAGAGCTTTGGTCTTCTCCTCTGTAGAGAGAATGCAATAACAATGCATGTGCGTGTGTGCATGCAGACACACACACACACACACACACAGCCACAGAGTTGTTCTGAGAAATAATCACCCATGTGACAGTACTCCACACTATGCACATGTAAGTTCTCTTTATTATCAAATTACAGCTTTGCTGAGTCATTTCAGACATCAGTTCTTGACATAGTTGTCCTTCACTTAACCCCACTATCAACTATTTCTCCTTCTTTTTCTTTTCTTGCTTCCTAGAGAAAATGTAAAGTTGGTCCTATGCAAACTTCCTCTTGAGTCTACTCCTCTATCTTACTTACCATCTTTCTGGCTCTATTCTCCCTTCCTGGTTAGGCCTACCAACTCTTACTCCTTCACTCTGTCAGTAATTAATTAATCAGGAAGTCTTCTTCAGCCCACACTATTACATGCACAGCAGCATATCTGACAGTGGCACATTTAATCAGTTTGCAGTCATATACAGAAACCCAGATAGTGGTGGACTAAGAGTCAAGAGTCATGTGTTCCCGAATTAGCATTGCCATTGATTTTCCAGGGAGCTTCCAGCCATTTTGGTTCAAGAAACATCTATTCAGGTCAGGGGGTGGGAGAGCTGATACCTGTTGCACATAAATTCAAACATTTGTAAGTCATATAAATATGCAACCTCCAATTATGAATGATGTGCTGTACAGTAATACACACACACACACATGCCCAAATAACATAGATGCCTAATGGAAAGAAAAATTTCATCCACCTTCAAAGGTTATAAAAGAGGAGCTAGACCTTCAAGGATGACTAAGGTTATATAAGTACAAGAAGGACACCAGGTTGCAGGAGGAACACGAAGTCATGAAAGGAATAGCTGGATGAAGGAATGGCAAGAGTTTGGTGTGACCTGGTAGTGTAGGGAGAACAGGAAATGAGGCTACATGGAAGGTTAAATTAAAGTTACACAAGACCTAGCGTGCCAGTCTTAGTCTTAGTCTCCACTGCTTGTCAACTGCGTTCCACACTGGGCAGGGGGAGAGGAGGAAGCCTTGATGTCTTAAAGCAGCCATTGTATAACTACCTTTCTCCCTGTACACCCAAAATGACAACTAACTACATATCATCCCGGAAAGAACTAAGAAAATCATCACACAAATAATTTTCTGGAGGACTTGATTGTGATATGGAAGTCCATTTGAGAGAGGCTGCTAGGCAAAGGCAAGCCTCCCAACACTTAGAGAAAGTGAGGGACATCCTCACATGCCATAGAAACACCACTCAGGTGGAAATGAGAGAGTGCTTTAGAGAGAATACTGTCAAAAGGTAAGAGATGAACTCAAATGGTATTGCAAGGACTGGAGGAGTGGCTCAAGTGGTAAAGCACCTGCCTGGCAAGTATGAGGCCCTGAGTTCAAACCCCAGTACCACCAAAAAGAAAAAAAAATGGTATTGCAATAACCCAGCGTGCAATAAAACAGCATACTGCTGTTGCAATAATTCAATGGCGATGACCAGGGCTCAAGGTGGCAGCTGTAGACATAGGGAGAAGGGACATCCTGGAGATATGTGGAAAAGCAGAATGGATGGAGCGCTTTAGTGCTGTTCTCCCTGGCTCCCCAGCTCCCTGCAGCTGCAGAGGAGCCTACCTAGACAGTGCATCAGCCACAGCCCACTCTAAGGGTGGAATATGCTTCTACTGATGGGGACGTTATCACGCCGCTGGTGATAGCTGTACACCGTGACGGGCTCAAGGTAAGACTTTTCTGTGCTCCACTTCAACCTCCTCAGCATGTTGGTCCTGTTTTCATAACTGACCATCAGCCTAATTCCACTTTTCAGCTCCATGTTTTCCTCCTGGGACAGAACTTCAGACTGCCTGCCTGGGTTCCTGACTCGATGCTGCCCTGACCCAACCCATTCTTCCATTCCCAGTGTTCCACGGCAGCCCTAGTAGTCCTGCAACGGAGTTAGCATTGCCAGCTCTGGGCCTGCTCGGTGCTGGCGTCCTCCTCCTGCCCTCTAGGCTGCCTTGCTGAGATCCCACCACACTCACACCTTAAGCCCATCCAAATTCAGACAAGACATCAGGAACCTTGTCTGGAGCCCATTTTTCCATTTGCAAAATGGGTTATACTAGGTGACTTCTAAAGTAGCTCCCTTTCCAACACTAACATCCTGTGTTTCTAAGTAGGCCAACTGTAAAAGAAGTCTGCATTGGCACAGAACAATTGAGGCTGGGAGCTAGTGAGTCAAACTCAGCAAAAATGTCAAGCTAACTGTGAAGGCAGGAGATTAGACTGCAGCATGGGCACTGAGCAGACAGCAACTACGGACTCCAGCCAGAGATTAGCTTACCCAGACAGCTGTGTGGACAAGATGACTGTGCCACACCCTACTTGTTAG